TGTGGTGCCCGTTATCAAGTGGAACATCTTGTGAGTCGACGTCATTGTCAGGGTCAAATCCAGTATCCTGTGACGTGGCGGGGGTGCCCCAACTTCGAGAAATCGTGGGAGTTTGAGGTGCCTCTTCGGCAAGACTGCCCGGACATCGTGTACGGTCATGATCAGAAGGATCATAAACTTTTGTGTCTTCGTACTCGGCAATAGCCAGGGAAGCCATAAGACCATGAGCTGAGCTCAAGCTATGGCTCTGAGCTGCTGCGGTCGCAGACTTCCCCGTGTGAGAGACCACAGAGCTCGCGGGAGCGTGATGTCCGTCACAGGCGACAATCCAAAGGAAGTACGATGACCTTCTTTACGCGCATCCATCTCCCTGTATCCATCTCCATGTGGCTCTATTGTAAGCTGTGCAGCGAGGAAAAGTTACACCCACCGCTCAAAGAGCTCTTCGTCATCTGCAGCGGTTTTGCCAAGAGCGAGAATCACAGGAATCGTCAGCATCGGGGGTACAGGAGTGCCTCCACCTTCAGCACGAAGCCAAGTGCGGTATAGTCTCATTTGGATTTCTTGAGTTACGAAAAAGCGAGCTCAGAGAGCTCTTTGTTCGTCAAGCCCAGCTTGTGTGGTTGCCGGGGCCCGACCACGTAGCTACCCAACGATCGAGTGATCACGTCCTACGTTTCTGCATCGGCATTTACCGAGGGAAAGCCGTATTCCATACGAGGGTCAAGGGCCGACCGCGGATGTATGCACATGAGAGCCGCCCTACGGGCAGTATCCAGCTGCTGATTTTGCGCCTCGTCGAGGTGATTGGTAATGATACCACTTCCGGGCTCACGTCGCGCCGCTGGGGCACCTCGCCCTCTTCTTCTTCCTATGCTGGTAAAGGAGTATCCGACTCGTAGTCGACTTCCTCCAGACTCACGACAAGGTAATCCATCGACCGTGGCAGGCACGGCGCACGGTACTCGGTTACAGAGAGCTTGGGCTGTGCTTCCCTTGAAACCTCGGACATACTGTCCGGAAGGGCTCTGCTCGCGGGCGTTCTTGGAACCAGTGGGGCTGGATGTCTTCCGTGTTTCCGACACAGAGCTCATTTGGCAGACAAATGGAAGAGGGTCCCGGTGATGTTGTGGTGTCTTA